TCCTATACTATCAAAAGAGTCATTTGTCTACTTCTCCCAATACTGATTAATTTTGCATTTTTAAAAAATTTATTTATTTATTTATTTTTGGCCAGTCCTGAAGCTTGAACTCAGGGCCTGGTCACTGTCCCTGAGCTTCTTTTTCATTCAAGGCTAGCACTCTACCACTTGAGCCACAGTGCCACTTCCAGCTTTTTCTGAGGAATTGAACTCAGGGTTTCATGCATGCTAGGCAAGCACTCTACCCCTAAGCCACATTCCCAGTCACTTGAGCCATAGTGCCACTTCCAGCTTTTTCTGAATAGCATTTTGAAGATAAGAGGTAGACTTTCGTGCTTGGGCTGGCTTTGAACTGGGATCTTCAGATCTCAGCCTCCTGAGTAGCTAGGATTACAGGCGTGATCCAACAGAGTCTGGCTGAATTTTGCCTATTTTTGAGTGGTATATAAGTAGAATCATCACCATAATTCTTTTGCATCTGGCTTTCTTTGCCTATCATTGAATTTGCAAGTATCAGGCAGCATCACTCCTTGCAGTATATTATTCCTTTATACAAATGTAACAGGATTATACTGCAGAGCTCATTTGGTTGCTTTATTTCTTCTTTGCTCCTAGAGGCTGACCTTTCCCTCTCCTGGCCCCTCCCCTTTTTTTGGTTAGTCATGGGGTTTGAACTCAGGACACGGGCTCAGTTCCTGAGCTCTTTTTGCTCAAGGCTAGCACTTTACCATTTTGATCCACAGCTCCACTTCCACTTTTTAGGTGGTTACTTGGTGATAAAAGATTCACAGAATTTCCTGCCCTGTTTGGCTTTGATCCAGGCCTCCTGAGTAGCTAGGATTACAGGTGTGAGCTACCAGCACCTGTTTTTTTTTTTTTTTTTTTAACTGTACTGCATAGTGATTAGGGTTTAAAAGCATTTTCTGATTGACAATTCTAGATGATCTGCAAAGGACAAGTTTCAGGACGTATAGATTTCCAAATATCTAGACACATCAACTATCCGTTTCTTTGTCTTCTGAAATTCTTATGTTGTTATTACCTGATTTACTTTAGTTGAGTATTCATTTCTTCAGACTGATAACTTGTAAAACTGATTTTGATTCCTGTGAATCAATAAAAATAAGTGACCACAAACAAAATCAGACCTGTAATTAATTCTTTTTTTTTGGGGGGGAGTCTGGTCATGGGGCCTGAACTCTGGGCCTAGTCACTGTCCCTCAGCTCTTCAGCTCAAGGCTAGCACTCTACCACTTGAGCCAGAGCGTCACTTCCGGCTTTTTGCTTATGTGGTACTGAGGAATCGAACCCAGGGCTTCATGCATACAAGGCAAGCGCTCTACCACTGAGCTACCTTCCCAGCCCCCTGTAATTAATTCTTTACATGTAATCAATCTCATCCCTTGCCAGGGTGGGATGAGAAGTGCATGTCCAAGGTTACTTTAACATTAGTAAGTAGACAATATTGAAAGTATGTGAAATAAATCGAGTGAAAACAGAAATAGGAATAGTACATGGTGGGCATAGGATTTCCTCGTTACACTAGGAAACAAAATAAGAGGTATGTAATCATTGTGTTGCAGAAAAGACACTCTTAAATGTGACTACCTTTGCACTGAAAAATAACTATTCTAGATCAGTAGTTCTCAAGTGAGGGCAATCCCTTCAGAGGATACTTTAAAAGATATAGGACCAATTTTGGTCCTATGCTATTGACCTCTTGAGAGTAAAGGGTTAGCATGATGCTACTAAACATCCTGCAAGGTACATGATAGCCCCTCTCAATAACAAAACAAGTATCCAGCTCTTAGTGTTGATATTACCAGTGTTGAGGCATACATAGGGACTAGACATAGGCTGTAAGTCAAAGACATAGTTAACTGAACCCTGTCAACTGCCTTTCAGGAAATGGTAGCCCCATAGGGACACATTCTAGGTTTCCATCCAAACTCTGATGTTCTGATAGCCAGCTTGGCTCATTTTTTTTTTTTTTTTTCTGGTGCCAGTCCTGGGCTTATATTGGTCTTGAGCCTTTACTTTGATTCTTTTCAAGCCTGAAATATTGGGTCGTTGAACAACTACATCCATTTTGAATTTGAATTAAATCACTTAGATCCGCTGTTTAGTTATGTACAATATGCTAGTTACATATAGCAATTAACTTATAGCTTCTCTATGGTTTATGCCATTGTTTTTATTTCAGTACTGAAAACACTTAAGTACTAAAACCATAGAGGAAATCAGCTGCAAAAAAATGGCATTAGAGAAAACCAAGATTTTGATGTTGTGATTCACAATTAGACTACAAGGCATCATTTTCCTTTCTTCATATCTTTTTGTAGCTTATGTTTAGGGCAAAGCTAAATTTCATTATTTCTCTAATGGAAGTGATTATCTAAATTTGTCCCTTCTTCCTCCAGGCACACATATAACCATCTATTCATCTGATTCATTCCCCTACAAAACAGAGAAGGAATTTTATAATGATATTATTGGTTTTGTAACTGGTGTCTTCCTTGTGATGCTATTACTGAACCAATGTTGTGATAAATGGTCTGTTTATAAGGGGAATCACTTTTACAACAAGAAGAAAATTAGACATACTTCTGTTTTGCAATAACAATAAAAAGCACAGTGAAAAAATATTCCCCAATTTGTTCCCATCTGTATCAGCAGGGAAGCTTTAGAAGATGCTTTTTCCAAACGTGATTATTGCCTATAAGTAGCATGTCAAACTGCAGATTATCTCCAAAGTCTGTTGGAAGACCAATGCATTCTTCAGTTTATCATGAGGAGGGCCCTTTAAGAAAGCCAGGCACTTCAAACTCCACCCCTCTGCTGACTCAAAGCAGAGGCTGCTTTGGCAAAGCAGTTAGTTTAGTGATAAAGCTACCAGAGGGCTAATTTGCCCCCTGTTCTGTTTGGGAGGACTGTTCTTGTTGCTGTAAGCTCTCTAAAAGTAGAAGCCTTAACATAGTTGGGGAAGGGAATAGTAGATGTGTGAAGTATGGAAGCCAGGCCCACCCTTAAGATACTGACACAGCGTTAAATAAAATGGAAAGAATGTGGTTAAATCTGTTTGCCTCTGCAGTGCTACTCCCTGCTAATTTTACTCTTCCATTTCTTTTACCAAGTGAGATTTCCAGAGGTTGCTTCCAGCTCCAGGAGGTGATGGTCTCCTTGCACCAGATCCAAAAAAGACAAGTCAGGGAGAGGAAAAAAAAGTTTCAGTGAAAATCAAACTGGATGACTTGGAATTATTTTGATTGACTCTATATTTCTAAAAAAGCAAACAACAGCCTTTTAATTTATTTTATTTTTCTCCTGCTATACTAATAGTGACTGGGGATTAGAAGGCCTTTAAGCACTAAACTAAGACAACTCGGAGAAACTTGGGGCTTCCCAGCTGTGGGCATTCCTCAGCTGTTTGGTAGGAGCCATCTTGGTAAGAGATGATGTCATTTGGAGCACTTGCTGTGCTACTTTGAGGTGTCAGTTCCTCTTAGGCAGCCAATAACAGTTTAATTATTGGGATCAATTTAAGGGTTAAAGGTAAAGGGAGGTAGGAATGAAAGTGACCAGAACCATCTCTAGTTTTATTAAACATTTTATAAAAACCTTTGCAATAGTTGAGGGCAACAGAAAAAAAAAAAAACTTTTGCACTCCCCTTCCTAATTTGTGTTTCCATGAGTTTGTTCTTCCGTGGACTAAAGTTGGATAATAAAAACTAGTCTGGTTGGTTTTACTTTCCAATTTTTACACATAAATGAAAGCTGTTTTGTATCAATAGGGTTAGAGTGTTTAGAATCATCTCACCTGCTGGGCCAATTTCCCCTAAGCATTTCCTGGGGGGGGGAAGGTGGAGGGTAGAGAGAATAAAAATATTTGATTTTGAATATCCTGTACTTTAAAGCCCGCTCTCTGAACCTTAGTAAGAATCTGTTGTACCTATCTGTTCTCTAGGAAGGAGCAGGACGGTGGCGATGAAGGGTAAACATGGTTATGATATGCTCTCACTTAATCATGACTCTTCGCCTAGCAGTTGTTTTGGAAAACTGGCACTTGTGTTTCAACTCTTCAACAAAATAGTTCTGTTTCCTGTCTCATTAGACAAACGTGGATGTGTTCATCCTACTTCGGGCGACATGTGCTGGGAATGTTTGCAAGATGTAAGGAGAAAAATAAAAGGGGAGGAGGAGGAAAAGTCACACCTGGTTTAAACACGCGAGCCCAGTGTGCGTTAGGTGGTCACCGGGCGGCGGTGTCTCTCCTGCAAAACTTGCTAGACCAACTAACCTGCGCCTCCTACTTTACCTCCAACCCCCCCCCCCACTCCGTCCCCGCCCTTCTCGGCCCGTGGTTGGGGAAACTTTCTGTTCTTTCAACTTCCATCCAAAGCTTCTCCAGTCAAGCACTTTGCTCACTCCGAAGATAGGCGTGAAACAGACAAGGGGGGGGGGGGACGCGCGCGCATCCACGCAGCGGGGCGGAAGATGGGGCCACAGCACGGCGGGGCCGGGGTTGCCAGCAGCTGGAGCCCGGCTGACCTTTCCACGTGTCCTCCGCACCTGTGGGGCTGGTGGGGCATCGAGTTTCCTTTTTCTTCCCAGGGAGCTGGGGCGAGCCCGGAAGAGGCTGGGCAGCTGTGGGTTTTAGATGCAGAAGGGGAGGAGGGGGAGGAGGGGGGGTGGGAGGCCCCCGGTCTCCGAACACGTGCGGCTTCTGGGTAGCCCAGCAGGCCTGGCTTCCCCGCACCCTCGCTCGGCGTGGTGCCCGCGCGGTTGCAGCACTGCGGGGCGGTCGCCAGGCGGCGACGGGCGGGTCCCCGGCTGCTCTGGCATGGCTTTATTTATTTATTAATTTTTTTTTCCTTTTGCAAGGCGGCCTCGCGAGCGCGCTAGGCCCGGGTTGGAGAGAGCCCCAGTGCAGTACTGCCCGAGCCCGGGCGGGGTCTCTGTTCTCAGGCAGAGGAGGTCCCTTGGCAGCGGGAAGCTCCCTCTCTTTCTCTCGCCGCCGCTCCGAGTCTGCGCCCTGGTGCCAGGCGCCCCAGCTCCGCGGCGCTCCCCTGTGCTCGCCCGGCGCCCACTCATTCGCAGTCCAGCCTTCGCGGCCGCCGCCTCCCCGCTCCTCCTCCTGCTGCTGCTGCTGCTGCTGCTGCGCCTCCTCCTCCTCCTCCTCCTCCTTCTCCACCTCCTCCCCGAGCCCGCCGCGGCCATGGCGGACAGCGCCAGCGAGAGCGACACGGACGGGGCGGGGGGCAACAGCAGCAGCTCGGCCGCCATGCAGTCGTCCTGCTCGTCGACCTCGGGCGGCGGCGGCGGCGGCGGCGGCGGGGGCGGCGGCGGGAAGTCGGGGGGCATTG